AATTCACCATGGTTAACGGCAATGATGATTCCCAATACTTCATAATAACAATGAATATCACAATATCACGATAACAATTGATTTCTTTCATCAATAACTCCACTTTACAATGTAGAGCATACGTTCTCCAATATGAATATGAATCACGATCAGCCACTAACTAACTGCGACTTACGACCAAGATGTTCCGTTCCTTCATTTTTAAGTACTTGCGTCTCGTATCTGTCCTGGAATTCATCGAATATAGTTTCCCATAACATTTTGTTGCCGTTTAGCCATCGCTCCCGGGAATCTTTCGCCTGTAAGATTTGAATTCAAGATATTAAGCAATTTGTTTGGGTTATATATCAAATTCTTGGGATTTAGATCTTTATGTTTTGAGAGTGAGGTGCTCGACATCGTTACAGTATATAGTTGTCCATTAATAAATTATCGAGAAATGATTCATTCATTCATATATTCGGCTAATTTATGCCTATTTCACAAAAAAATCAAGCCTCTTCAATATCCAGTTATCACTGTGTCACGACTAATCCCTCCCTCATGCATGCTTATTGGTCTTCAGAAATGTGGTACGGAATGATTCTTGTAGGCTGAATGCAAAACAAATTCATTCGTCAATTCAACGAAATCAATTACGATTTTCAATCAAATCGATTGTGCACTTTCAATCGATCAGGCGGAATGTATTTAGTTAATCAGCAAATCCAACTCATTACGAATTTATGCCTTTCCGCTGTTACCAATATCGGTAATACCACATTCTTCTTTTGTGGGTATTCTTCGTTCCGTACCGTTTATGATAATAGCGTTTGAAATCATCTGCCTTCATGAAATTTTAACTTGCAGTTTCGGGCTCGTTTCGAGTCCCTCTCCTTAAAAATCATTAGACAAAATGGAAGATCAGCTCAAAGCCTCTGTAATCGCCAAATATATCAATAATCAAAGTTAGAATTTTATGAAGACAGACGATTCCCAGCGCTGTTGTTGTTAGCTGCGCGGAAATGAGGATGTCAAGGAAGGGAGAATGTGATATTGGTGATAACTTAAAGGTGTTAACTCGTAATGAGGTATTGCAATTGCTGATCAAATAGATAAGTAAATAATTCAATAAACAATTATGATCTCATCAAGACAAAAAATGTAAATTTTGATTAACGAACGGATTTTGAATCTTCAATAATGAAGAAATTTGAATTTTATTTCCCAACAAAAATTTGAATTCAGAATTTTTGAATGAGAAAATGATCAAAGAATTTTGCATTCTGAGAGTATGTATCAGCTAAGTTCATGATGTAAAATTTGCAATGCAAATTCTGCCAGAACAACAAAAGAATTTGCATAGATGAAGAGTATAAATAAGGTCGAAAAAGTGTCTAACTTCATTACGCTTTTAGCGAAGCAGTCAACGGTGCTCGATTCGTGCAGTCGTCTTCATCGAATAGATATGGCATTCAACGCTAATCAGGGTGGCTTCGGCGCTCAAGGATTCGCGAATGGCTCTGCTAGTCAAACTGGGTTCGGCTTCGGACAAGGCCAGACCGGTTTTGGACAAGCTGGTTTTGGACAGAGTGGCTTTGGTGGCCAGACCGGTTTCGGACAACAACAACAAGGCTTCGGACAACAGCAACAAGGTTTCGGACAACAAGGCTTTGGACAGCAAGGTTTCGGACAACAAGGCTTTGGACAGCAAGGTTTCGGACAACAACAAGGTTTTGGACAACAACAAGGTTTCGGACAACAACAAGGTTTCGGACAGCAAGGTTTTGGACAGCTCGGACAACAAGGTTTCGGACAACAAGGCTTCGGACAGCTCGGACAACAAGGTTTCGGACAGCAAGGCTTTGGACAGCAGGGTTTCGGACAACAAGGTTTCGGACAGACTGGTTTCGGTGGCGCCCAGTTTGCTGGTTTTAATCGAGCAAGCGGTTTCGGGCAGGCAAGTAATTTCGCTGCTTTCAGTTTTGTTTGAAGAAAATTAATCGCAGCCTTTAAGTTTCGGCAAGTAATTCTATTTTGCAGCCAGCAGTATCAACAATAGTAATACCAACAATTGCTCATCTTTTGCTTCTTCGAACGTCAACTGCTCGGTTGTTTTCTGAGAACTCAATGTTTCGGACGTTTTCACGCGGGCCTCTAAACATATGATTTGGTTATTTTACAGTATGGCAAGAGATTTCTAATTATTTAAGTAATTTCAGAACTGAACTGCAATCAAACGCATGCGATCAACGTCAGTGATATAATCTTCTGCGTGTGATATGCATCTTTGATATTTTAATCCTCTGTTTCATTAGATCAAATAAAGTGTCAATCAAATGAAACGCGTTGTTTACTGCATCAACATTAACTGAAGTTACAAGGTGGATTAATGTTCAAGATGAGGATTGTTTAATAGGAAAGAGCTTAGAGATCTGTCTGAAGTCGCGGTGGTCGCGGCTAAGGGAAGGTTCGAAACCGAGAGCTGAAAGGCAAGAAGTTGAGCTTGCAATGAAAACTGGGAGTTGGAAATCATGGAGTTAGGCGGACCTGTGCAAACACACGTACACACGTTACACACGTTCAATCAAGTACTATTGATAGTACTATCGCGCTGCCTAACTGATCGGCGTTGAGATCGGGTGCACAGAATTTAGCGGCATGGATAAACCGTTCATCCCTGCGACATGCCTTTATCTTCAGGATGGGATGTGTATCTCAGAGGCTGGGTATGTTTTTTGGGAATCCAGAAAGTTGATAAAGAGAATCTGTTGAATCTGCAAAATTCCACATACCACAAAAATTGTCGTCAGATGTTTTGGATTATTGGTATCCAACAAATAAACCGGCTCTCCACTGATGTAGAAAAAAAGATCCGATTGTCATTTGAGAGTATTCACCCACTTGATGAATTATGTCCGAAGAAGATCGCTGACCGTTGCTGAAGAATTCGAAAATTATATATTCCAGAGTTTTGGCCCGATCGACTTTATTTCTTAACATTCAAGATTGGTATCGACCAGCAGCCTTTGCCAACCCCGCTCCCAATGTTATGCACATAGATATTTGAAAAAAAAAATCATGAACTTTAATAAGTTATCGAGGGCTTTTTTTTGAGATAATATTCGTGGTCAGTTGATCAAGTGCATAGCATTTGGTGGTACAATGGAATCTCTGAATTACTCCAAACAACGTCGAAAATTCACTTTTCATTTCAGATGTTCATCTTTGCGATGCAATACATACTTCTCTGCTAGCCGAAGATCTGTGATTCGATGGTGCGAAGAAAGCATGTGAATTTCAGCGTACAGGTGGTTTGAAAATAGTACTTTCGTTATTCGCATAGCACTGATTAATATAGCGATCAAATGCGTAGAGGCTGGTGATCGAGTGAAATCTCTCACATCAGATGCAAGATACATCTTTGTGAAACATCCTAAATGCTATTTCAAGAAATAAATAAATGACTAATTGGCGAACAGTAATACATTGCTATCTAGAAAAGTACGTTGTGAACATGACAATATCGAAAAATACGACGAAACTTGCTTAACTTTTTTAACTGAAAAATACTTATTTTGAATGCTTAAATTTGATCTCCACTTGTCACAACAAGTGCAAATTTACATATAGTTAAATCGGGCGACATTTTAAATGCATAACTTTGAGTAAGCATATGACATGTCAACGTCGGAGATTCAACTGTATTCACCAAACTTTACATATTCAGGTGTATTTTTACATATAGAAATGAAATGTTTGGCATGAATTTGAATAATATCAGCAACGTGATCAAGTGGAATTTGTATAAAATTCGTGTATATAAACAGCGAACAATGACGATGCTTCATTGCGCTAAGTTTTAGCGAGTAAAAGGGTTGCTATCCAGCTAAT